CGCGGGGGCGTTCACTTCGATTGCGGCTAATGGTCAATCAGGTGAACCAGATTTCTGGACTTTAGTACAGTCCGCGCCTGACCTGAAGACATACGCTTGAATCTTAAAACTACGTCTCAATCAGGAGCAGCAGGCCAGAAAGCCTTCACCCTCAGCTTGTTGAGCATCGGGACTTAGAGTCATATCCAAGATCGATAACGCCTCCGAAGGATTGTAAGTTCTTAAGTTCAAGACTCTGCTCACTTGAAGTAGCTGATGGTTCCAAAGGTGGTGCCGACCTCCGGTAGCGTGAAGGGCGTCGCAATCTGCCTGAGCTGCAAGTTGACCTCCGTGTACTTGAGCTCTATGTTCTTCTGACCATCCGCGCGCGCGCTGACGAACAGCAGGGAGGCTAGAAGCAGCACCTGCTCAAAACAAGCGGGAGGTCAGATCAACACTGCAGAAATGACTACTACAGAAATCGATGCCAAACATATTACATGCACGGAAGGACGCCGAAGGATTCGGCTGTTAGGACAAATGCTGATTCCTGCCGGTGTTGAGAACCCGTCCAAACGGGTATAGTCATCTATAAAAGCACTCAGTGACGTTCTGACTGGCTAGCTTGCAGAGCATATCGATTGGTCAAATCATCCCGTTGAATGTGTTGTCTGTTCAGTCTTTCTGAAGTAATGGAAATCGTCAAGAATGCTCATATAATGGAAGAAAGGAGAATGTGACAGAACCAGAGGAACGTAAGCAGATTGATTATTGGCTCGAGCCATCGACTTGACGCCATGTAATTAAGGTATGTGTTTGCTGGCATACCAAACAATGGACAAGTGATTCTAGTCGATTGAGAACTGATTCTTCAGTCCGACGTCGTTCATTTCAGAAGAATCTACCAATTAGTGACTGAAGATAGTAATTGAAACTGTATAAGGATGAAGCTGCAGAATGATTCAGAACCGCAATAAAAGCTTGATGAACCCTTCCTCGGACATGATTTCGAACGCGCTCTTACCTGAACGATGGTGTTGTACGCCATCTTGATGACGGTAGTGAAGCGCCTTGGTCGCGTCGAAGCAATCCCAAAAGAAAGGTCCTAGCCAGCTCCGCCGAGCAAGACGCTTGCAAGCCTGCTGAAATCTGGTCGAAGAAAAGCTGAAACTTGAAATGGCTGTATGCAAATTGCCGAATGCGCGGATCTCCATTTTGTAGGCCCGCACTTTGCTGCAGAAGAGGCGACCACGAATGGTCTGCAACATGTCACCGATCTCCTTCTGCAAAGTGGGGTAGAGTAACAGCCTTCAATTGAGAGGCCTTGCAAGGCCTCTCATTAACCCTGGTAGCCATATGCAGCGGCGGCATCTTCGAATTCATCTTAAATCATTCAACGTTCGTTGAGAATTCCGATGGACCCTGACCTCTGAAGCTCACCGCAGCTTACTAGATTTATGCAGAATTCATAGCCGATGGTCCGTTCAAAGTTAGCTACTGTTAGCCGGAAGTATCCCGATCAGCTAGTCATTTCTATCATCCGTAATTATTTGGACATTTTGTCGAGCTGATCGAGGTGCTTTGCATGAGGTACTAAAACGACATTTGCATGTGCCTGAAAGTGCTAAAACAGCCGGTGTCAAAGTCGGTCTGCTCTCTGTCACGGGCAACTGGAAGTCGTGCACAAAAGGCACTGAGTTGGATGACACGCAGACGACCAATGCCATTGTAGCCTAGAAGGCGGTTGCTCAAGGTCAAGAAGGAACGGTTTTGATTTGAGAATATAAGGAATTTAGACATGGAAGTGGAGTGGTCCGCTATAGCGACGTCTCCTTCGATGCTACTGATTCCTTCTAGCGGCCCAGGGATCTAGTAGCTGGCAAATTAACCTAATCGGCATATCCACTTGACCGCATAAAAGCCGACCGGAAAAGTGGAAGGGGTTTCACGCACGCCATACATTAAACCTCTGTTTGAATAACTCCAACATTTGAGGACGATTAATTTGTGAAGGCCACGTGGCCCTCTGTAATATCAAATGAGCAGGACACTCGAGGACGAGGACGACTGCAGTGATCAGAGTCACAGAATGAACTGTAGATCTACGTATACACCGACGTACCTCGAGAACTTCACAACTCATGGATATCACTCGGATGATGAGAAGTTAAGATCGAGTCGGACCCTGTGACAAGCACTGCGGGTGCTAGAGTGAAACGTCGAGTCCACATCCCCTTCTCCTTCACATTCTTCACTACTATTTATTTTCTCTTGAGATTAGCTTCTTTGAATGCTCAACTCCGGATCCACCTAGGAAGTTTTTGCCTTACGCCCCGAAAGCTATCTCCAGCCACCGCCTGCGGGTCCCCCTGCAACGTAGAACTTACAGAATAGCGTCAGCACTGTCAGAAGTGTCGCCTCCAAAGAAGTTTGTACGTTATGTGGATCTTCCAATCAGGCCGCCTGCCGCGGAGCTGATTCCCAAAGATGATGTAAGGTGTGCGCTTTTGCTTCTTTACGTCCAGCTGAGTTTGCAAGCTGGGCTACCGGTGGGAATCCGCATTTTGTTGGCAACAGTGGCTGACGACGCGACCAGACAAATCAGCAAACCAGGTTCCTGGGCTGAGTGTGAGCGAGTCAGAACCACGGTTTGAAGAAGAGGATTTGATGAAGCCGTCATCGAATCGTTGCTGTCAACCAAAGGCTAAGGCATAGCCTTTGTTGACAGCAATTTGCCGTGTTGGCACGGCCCCCTTTTGGTCTGGTCGGGGCTGGGCTGCATTTTCACGGGGCTGTCTAGCAGTGCCACGACGTCAGCCTGTGGCGCGCGCATCTGGGCAAAGATGCCCGCGATTCCGCCGCTGACCGCCACCGAAACGGCCGCTTCTTCGGGTTGGGGGATCCCTTCCGGTTCAGTGCCCAAGATTTTCTCGCTGGCCGCCGTCGAAACGGCCGCTTCTTTGGGAGGGGGAATTCTTTCCGCTTCCCTGGGCTTTTCCGGCTGGCTGTCGGCGTTTCCGCTTCTGCAACAGCCGGAATCTCGTCATTTAATTGACGCATTTGGCGCCCCCTGATTGAGAAACCTGGAGCCTCTAGAATGGGGACAGCTGGCAACGTGTCAGTGGGCAGAGCCGGCATGTCTTCATCCCAAATAAACGACGCCCCCTAATCGGACACATGCTCACTGATGGAAGCCACCCCGTGAGAAGGCAATTTCGATATTGGCTTCTTGGGCCATCAGGCCCAAGAAAAGTACGGCGAGGTTGTAGGTGAAATGCTGCGAATGGAGTTGCGGCGTCAAGCTTAGCATCCGGGCATAGCCAATAAAAGCTGACCCAGACGGCGTCACTTGGGTAATATGTCGTGTCCCCGTGTCTTATGTCGGACTCATCAGCTACGTCGTATTAGACGCGTGGACTCGAAAAGTTGCAATCCTTCATTTTCAGGCCGCAAAGCTTTCAGACTTGAAAGAGTCCGTTTCGAGCCCACTTTACATGTTCACAAGCTTGTGCATGAGAAAGATCTGAGTCCGACCACATTGTATACGCCATCTCATGTGGGCGCGTAAGCTTTGATTATATTTTCTCATGGAATCAGGACTTGCAACTTTAATGCCGATAGGGGCGGCGCCAGTCCGGTTTTGATGTCCCACGCGTCAAATGCCGGTACTAAACACTGTCGCCATGACTAGCACTGCCTTATTGAACGCCGGCACACGAAACTGGAACATATGCAGCTAGCCAGCCTAGTGCCAGGCCACTTACAGCTTTGAAAAGCCGGGGAAGAACGGGCCTAGGAGAATTCTACGTCCGGGGTTTGATCATGCTCACACAATCACTCAAAGCTTGTCTAAGGTGATTGCCTTTTCTCTTTAGTCCAGCTACTGAGCTACGCGGTGAGCGCCTCGAGACGAATTGGCTTGAGCAAAAAGATCCTGACGTTGTAGCCGTAGGTAGAGAAGCCGTCGTTGCTGGTCAAGCTGCTGTAGCGGGCCACGCCTGTTGCGCCAGTGTAGTTCCCGGTGCCCCCCACAACAGCGAGGTCACCCGTCGTCTCGAAGCGGCCCTGTACGGAAATGTCGGAAGAAGTGTCAGAAGAAGTGTCGGAGGTTGAGGTTGCATATAATGAGGGACAATTCGACCACAGCCAGGAGGATGGAGGACGATTGTCTAGTAGTCTTCACGACGAAGCGTCCGACAAGTAGACTCCGAAGGGCTCAGGAACCGGCGGGAAACGTTTTTTGAAGACCCATTGAGAAGGAGGTACATGCATTAAAAAGCTGGTAAACATTCAGTGTCCGATAAATCCAGGATCCACTGAACGTTTGCGTGAATCACTTCGCAAACTGTAGTTGCGCCTGACTCGGAAAGCGCGTTGCACCTCAGTAAAGTAAGACTTGATCAAAGGCCTGAACAATCAGAGCACAGCCGCGACACATAGTTTTAGAGATTTTTTTTTTGCGGACACTCAGCAAGATGGCACCCCAGTCCTTTCAACTCGATTCAAGACAGACTCCCTAGTTACCCTACAAGGCGCGCCAGGTCGTTGACGTTTGGAAGATGTGAGGACAGAGGTGGAAGTCATCGCTGCTCACCGCGGGCAACTCAAATCTGAGCTGGAAGTGGCGAACTAAAAATACGAGCTCGTGTCACCATTGGAAGGGGATTGGACCAGATGCTGAAGCTGTGGAGAGCCGTGTGATCTCCGTAGAAAGAGGAAGGAGTGGCAGGGAATCAACTCACGGTCACTGTGAACGAGCTGCCGTCAAAGAAGATGAAGGAGAAGTCGCACTCCTGCGCTACGTTAGTCTCGGTATAGGTGCAGATGCCCTGGTCGAATCCCAGGAGCTCGCCGGTGTTGAAGTCCTCAACAGGATCGCTGCAAATCCGAAGGATTTGATACAGAAACTTGGTGATATTGAAGAGTTCCGTTCATGAGGGCATGGATTGTAGAGGTACGCTGCAGAGACCAGCTGGCCCCCCGTTTCCAATCGACTTTTCTGACTCTCTGAAACCGACATTTCTTCCCGCGCTTCTTTCCAAATGGAGCGATCTGAAGGCAGAGAACGGTAAAGATTCCATCAAGAGCAGATTAGGAATGAAAGATTGCGCACGGAGCACTTATGGCTGATGACCAACCAGGTAATCGATTGAAGTGTCAATTCAGGTGTCCCTTCAAATTGAATCGATTCCCCGCCTGATCAGAAGCCAGACGGCTGACTCTCAAGCACAATCAACCAGGACCAGGCCAGAAAAACCCTTCATGTCCTGTAGCGCTACGGCTTTGGGAAGTATTCTCGCATCCGACTATAGCAATTTTTTGTAAGATCCTGATTTCGAGACTCTCTGCTCACTTGAAGTAGCTGACGGTCCCAAGGTCACGCCGACGTCCGGTAGCGTGATGGGCGTGGCGAGCTGTCTGAGCTGCAAGTTCACCTCCTTGTACTTGAGCTCGATGTTCTTCTGGCCATCCGCGTGCGCTCTGACGAATAGGAGAGAGGCCAAAAGCAGTACCTGCTTCAAACAATGGAGGTCAGCGATTGATTCATCTTCGTTGATTAAATAAGTGAACGATATGTATCAAACATAAGCAGAAGGAAACCGACATGAAAAGGACGCTGAACAACTTTCTGAACCTTGCCAGTGGTGGCAACCGTCCGTACGAAAGAAGCATTGAGTCGTCTTCTGACTGGATGGATTGCAGATCACTTTCACTTACAAAGTTTCTTCCTGTTAGAAGTATCACGATGATGCTAGTCATTCTACAAGCGAGAATCGACACGACTGCTCATGTGATTGTAAGAAAGATGCGAAGATGTGCCAGACAAAAATTCTGCTATGCTTACTTTCGGTTACCAACAAGGATTGAGATGTGTTTTCAGTTTGCAATTGGCTTCCTTCCTTGCAGAGGAATCCACCGAGTGAATTGACATAATAATCGAGACTGTAATAGGAACGATAAAGTCAGACCTGTAAGAATATCATACTAGCAAAGCTGCTGACCTGAGCGAAAGTGGTGAACGCCATCTTGATGAATGAAGTCCCTCGTTGAGTTAAGCGCCTTGGTCCCGTCGAAGCAATACCGGGGAACTTCGGAGGAAAGGGAGCTGAGCAAGACCCTTATGCAAGCCTGCTGGAACGCTGTTTGAAAGTGAGAAGAAGATGAATGAGCTCGAAAGGTGAAGATTTCGAGGAACCCTGGCTTATAGAGGTAACCCCAACCTGTAGAAAACTACATCCTGCTCCGCACCTGTACCCACCCCAACCCCACAACAAACGCCACCCGTCTTAGGCTGGTGAGCTTACTATTTCTAATGCTAGGCTGAAGTCCCGAGCGTCCCACATGTGCAGGTATCAAAGCTGGTGACGAAAACTTTCTGCTCTAGTAAATGTGCCCGAAAACGTTGATTGACACGCCAACAATCAATAACGAGCAGCTTAGGCGGTTGCTCATGACCAAGACTGAAATGAGAAGCAACAGGCTAGGCTTGCTTCAAGGTGTTATTTCGCATTGTTATTACTTATGTAATAGCGTTCCGCTATAAGCGGCGTTTTTGTTAATGCTACTAGTCCCCGTCTAGCGGCGCAGGGATCTTGGCCACCCATCCTGGCCGTATAAAAGGACAGGACTCAAATAAAGGGTCTTATACGCACGCTTCGATGTCACACCTCTTTCTAATGACTCCGATTCTCGACGAAAGTGAAGGCCACGGGGCCTGCGTGATGTCACATGTGCAGGCCACCTAAGCACCTCAGGACACCCAAGGGACGAGGCCACCAGTGAATGAAGCGCAGATCCGCATCGACGTCGTCTCTGATTTGGAGACCTTCATCAGTCCTCACTTGGATGATCAGATGGTACAGATATCGAGACCCTTACCAACCACTGCAGGTTTGCTAGAGCGGTGGGATTCCCGCTTGTTGATTCCATCTCCTCTCAAAATTCTAGAGTGTGTTCACTTCCCTGCGTATTCGGCTTCTTTGCGTCCTCAGGTCGGCTTTACAGGAAGTTTACATTGATGCCTGTAAGATCACACGAGGCAACGGGCATCTATCCATACGTCAATCACGCCGTTTCCTCCGCGTTAGAATCCGGCAGTCACTTAATCACTGAGCCACAAACCAACTTCGGCCTGTAGATGGGGGGTTGCATTACAATCTACAATCGATCCGATCGATGTCAGCTGAGCTCCCCTAGCTCTTAACCATGACACGGCCGCATTCCTGATTGACTCCCATCTTCAGATATCCTTCGATCGCCGGCTCGGCATATTTTCTGTCTTGGATTTGACGTATGCCAGCATTGCAGATAATGCATGACCTGACAAGTGCACTGCTCCATTACGTAGTTTAGTCGGCCGTAGTCTGCCGCCATGCAAAAGAACGACGCGCATATCCGACGTACGTAACATGGGTGAGCACCGGGCGGCCATCGAGAGGGGCACCGCATGCAATTAACGTGTACATGCGTCAACGTTCTGATGCAGGGCACGGCAGCGTTGGAATTCACTCAGATGATTCGGCCTGCAGTACGTAAGTGAATCCAAAAGCGCAGGAAAGAAAGTGTTGTCACTGCTGGCACGCAGTCATCACTCGAGTCGCCATCGGAAAACCCGGCAAGACTGCCGGCTTTCGACCTCAGCATGAAGTACGCACCACACGATAACCAGGAACCTGAATGCTTGCCAAGCATCTTGCAATCGAAGACAAGCTAGCCGATACATTGCGCCTTTGCTCGGTTATCAGGCATATGGTCATCAATCTTTGCCCGAATCCGTCTTGCACTTTGCACTCTCACTGTTTCTTATTCACAGAAAGCGATTGCTATTCGCCGCACCCTACTCTACAGCCTGTAACCGAGAAAGGACTTGCGATCCGGCGCTTCGAAGGAGTGTCAAAGGGACTCTGCTAATCTGCTAATCCTTATCAAAAGCTGGCACTCTTCTTGGTACAGTCAAAGGGCCCGCACTCTTTCTTCTTCACCTGTTACGAGAGACAGCCGAGTGGTGTAAATGCTAGGCTAGTTTGCAAGACCAACTCAAAAGCATCTCACCTGCTGAAATCAGCTTCTCAAAGCCTTTTGATGCAGAAAGACAGCGATGCATTTCCGATGCGCACGCCTTAAGATTTCTTGACTTGAATTGCTGTCCGTTGCAGCGAGCAGGCGTATGCATACGTAACCCAGTGCAAAGCTAGAACCTTACATATGTAAGGTTTGCACTCACATCATCCATCTCAGATCTCTTTCACCCTTGTCTATTACCCGTTGTTGAAATTCTCCTTTCCCGCACATTCGTCTAACTCCAGCAACCTAGAAGTTCTCCAGCTGTGCGAAACGCAAAGAGAACCCGCTGTATAACGGCTTGACTTACCGGCGAGTACGGGTTGGCGGGCGCTTCCTCCTTCTTGTCGGGTGGGGACGCTTGTACACGACCAGACTTTGTCGCCAGAGCATCCTACAGCAGCCGAAGTGGTGTTATCCAATGAACTCAAGAAAAGCAAAAAACTTGGCGGTATCATTCATCGAACTCAATTCAGTTTTTTTTTTGGATATTATGATATTCAGCTACCCGCACTACAACGGGACCATTTAGTTTGGGGGGTGGGGATGGGGTAGAATTGCGGCCGAAGCAGGAACCTTTGTGGCTTTGGACTTTCGTACTGTCGAGCTTATTCTTATGTTTGCTTCTTGCTATCTCTGTTGAGTTCGATTATTCGTTTCAAGGTCGGACGCTCTTACAATGACATTATAAGCCCCTAAAACAAGATTCCTCGTTCGACGGACACTTAAGGTGGAAGTATGGCAATCAACCGCCTGCAGAACCCTAGGTCACGTTTTGGGTCACGAAATGGTCAAAACTCAACCAAAGTCGAGTTTTTTGCATTGGGTTCGAGAACCCAAGGGGATCCTCTAACCCCAATCTCGAAGTCTCCGGACCCCTCGAGCCATGGCCGCCATCCGGGCTCCCACAACCCAAGAAAACCACGGGGGTCCCTAAAATATTATTCTCCTGACCATATACGATGGGAGCGCATGGCGGAAAGGGGTTTCGTAGGCTTGGGCCCATGCAGGGATATCCCAATAATTTTGGGGGGGGGGAACTGCA